AAATATATATGTTTGTGGAAGTCCATGGTTGATTCCCTAATTAAAATCATTTTTACATTACTTCAATATTTACTTCAGCTCATCCAATCAAAATAATCAAAGTGCGTTTATGGATCTTATCTGCTTTTGTTAACGAATATAATTCTTGTAAAACCAATTGAGTCTCCTTTACGTCGGCGCACCTTGCAAACCAATCAAAAGCGGTTCCCACATGAACGTTAACAAGGTTTTCTGGTCTACTTGCTGTTCATTATCTGCATGGCAAAGTGTGCCTTTCCTAACTGGCAGCATACTGGGAGTTGGAGGTTAACCACCTGTCGGAAACTGTATCTCAAATAAGAATGAACATTAACTTGTAAATTGCAAAGTTTCCTTCTTTATAATTAAATGGTTGCACGGAAATGTCGACAACAGCGTGTCTTCGAGCGTTTATTAATCCCGTAGGACAATCATTACTGCCTGATGCTTTGGTCATATTTGGCTGCCTGTCGTAGGTTGGTACAGTTGGGTTTAAAATATTGATAACAGAACCTAAACTTTTCTACATTTTATGGTTCGAAACTCATTTCGAGCTGTCATAATGCCTGAAGAGTTGGACATGTTACGAGATTTGCAGCAAAAGATTATATTTCTGCATTACTGAAATTAAAGATATTATGTTGAACTACAAAATGCATTTACAGGAACGAATAAGAAGAATCTGTCTATCTTCATTTGTTTTGTTTTGTACTGTTTGTATCCAGCACTAGAAAATTTTGATCTGATATGGGTGTTGTGTGTGCGGCAAAAAGTCTCTCCTGTCCGTAGGACTCGATGTACATCCTTGTTTGTTATTGGTATTTGAAAAACTTGCCATTGTCAAAGGATTATCACTTTGGGCTTCAGCTGTTTTCTGGATGTACATCATTTTACGTGTCACACTTCATTTTAAATTCCAAACATCATTTGTCAGTTCTTATCTGTATCCTTGTTATTCTATGTAACACCCTCTATCAGTCTTAAGCCCTGTTTTTCTGTGAAGATAACATAATTTTCGGGGAAGATTGCCCTGTAAGTTTTATACGTGATTTGGGTGTATACATGATTTGGGTAGTAGTGTATAAGCAGTAAATATAAGTTTGTAATTAGTGTCATATAGGTATCATTCTTAACTTTACATTCCGCAAATACTAAACACGTATCGATGGGAATATCGTTAGCCAGAATACATCACAGATATGGTGAAGCAGTTGATCAATAGTTCTCGAAGTATTTCCCTCGCTAGTTTAAGGCGAAAGCTGAAAAAAGGTTTTCCCATTTTATGCAACAATACGCACTAACACTCTGAAAGAAGGGCATTTTTGGCGAGGAACACGCCATCACAGACCAACGTGAACTCAAAATGTCCCATTCATTCAAAACATAGTAGGCCTATCGGCCAATATACAGTACAAAATATCACCACAATCATTTGTTATTTACAACACGAAAGGCTACTGTGCGCGGCTTTGCATTTAGTGTTTTTTTAAGTGGCCCGTGAAATAATTTTTTATTCTTATAAACATGGTTAACTTATGTCATTTAGAGCCAATTACTAAGTCCACTTTACATTAACACAGAAAGTTCGCTTACTTTCCTTTTAAAATACATGCCTGTTTCAAGCTTTTTGCGCAGGAGGATCATTATCAAAGCCAGTAAACATTAACCAATATCGGTAACAGATTAATGATACATGCTTTTGGTATAGGACTTGATTCCAGATTCAGCTAGAGACTTCTTTATTTAACAATCTTAAGAGAACGATAATCGTTTTCGCAGAAAGCTGCGTTTATCCTGCTTGTCCTACCTTCACTTGATGATGTGGATACTAGAAATTCCGACGGTCACTGGCCCCTTTGGTTATAGACGCATATTCTCATTATACACGTTTATTGTTTTTGACAGACCAATTTCCATGGGCTATATATGAAAATGTAATATTTTTGTGGGTCTATGGTTTAAGCCAGCGGTTAATGTAATAACGCTGGTAGTTGCTTTTTTCGCCTTTTTTTTTTTTTTTTTTTGAAAGATTTGTCTTTTATTCAATATCTTTTCGAATATGAATACGGCATGGAATCAACAGTATATTCTTCTACATAAGTTATTTATTTATTTGTTTATTTTATTTATTTTATTATTATTATTTGGAAATGTAAAAACAGGATTCCAACGTAGGTTTTTGTTTAATATAACTGAAAATCCACATTTACTGTATTTGATCATAGTTTTTTCTTTCTTTTTTGCTTGTAAGAAAATAATAAATTCGAATCATGTATCACAAATCCCAACTTCCCACTCTTAAACGGAAACTGCTCAGCGGTTTTCTGTTAATTCCTTGATACTGAAAAAAATCTCCCTAACCGATTGCTATCTACACCCAATTAGTATTCTACGTGTATGCTCCCAGGCACTTCAAAAGGTAAAAATGACACGTGAAGACAATACCGGCTCTACCTGTCATCGATACTTTGATCAACATAGTCCCTTATTATGTCCCAGTAATAAGTAACCAAAAAACACTGTCTAAATAGAGAGAAATCTTGGATATTGTGTATTGTTCTTCACTTCAAAGCAAACTGCATTATATTTTAGGATAAGTATTCTTAATAACTTGATGTATCATCTTCAACCAACAGCTTGACACAACTCTTGTCACTTTGTGGTCAGACTTTAAACACGTGTTTTGGTAGAAACTCTAGTTTCTTTTGACTGAAGCGTAGCATTGCTTCTTAATGAGGCTTGTCTTGTCACTTACAGCTTGTATATTACAATAGACGGGCTGTCTTACACTCTTATAGATTTCCTTGTAGGCTTTTGCAATGAACCGTGCTATAACGCAATAATCGATACCACTGGCATATCTTAAATATATTACAAAACAGATGTACGTATAATGATCTGAGTCGAAGATTAAAACATATTTATATTGAAAACATTAACCATGTATTGGAAAATTTGTCAACTTCTGGTACGAGGGGCCACGCGCATTTGTTCCCAAAACGTTTTTATTCCCTTTCATTCCCCGCAGACATTCGTCGTCTCGGATACACTTTTTTATTTTGATGAATCGGTCACGTCGTCAGAGCGATGGAAGCACCCTCTTATATATTGATGGATTGTTCTTTCATGAACCTTATTTGAACGACATTCATTATTGGTCTGCATATTTATCTACATTCAGTTAAGATAAAAGGCTGCTTTTCTCTCAGATTAACCGGTCATACTGCTCAAGTTTGCAACAGAAGAATTTTCTTTCCAAACCTATCTATTCTGTAATGGCGGTATAGACACCTTGACTGCCAATTACTGAATTAACCCTGACTTATACAACATAGCTACTACATGTAGGCGCGCCGAGGTCTTCTTTGCCAAAGGTGATGCGCTCACAGAAACAACAAGAAGCGGCGAATGTTTCTGTCATTTTAGTGTGTGTGTGTGTGTGTGTGTGTGTGCGTGCTTGCGTGAAGGTAAAGAAAATATAATGTCAATAGATTAACCCGTGCTATCTTGGTTTAGATGCAAACTGTTATTCAGCTGTTGCATGCAAGACTAGGAAATCACGAGTTCTTCGGCTTTCCGCTCCATAAACTGGTGATGCCATTTCTATCAGGAAACTTAATTATGGCTCAACGAGCTATGTGAAGGGGAGATGACGGAAACGGCGAACTGGGTTCTTCCATTACGATAACGGCATGGAAAAGTTTGATTCCGTTGTGAATGGCTGTCACTTTAAATGGCAGATGTGGGTGACATTTAGAAGACCTACAACAGACGCTATTTGTCAGTAGCCCTAAAGGCAATTACTTACCTTTTGATTATGAACGTCGTCATATATTTTCGATGCCCTGAGGAAAACCGAGCGGAAAGTGACATTTTGGAACCCAAAATGCATTTTTTTTGATGATTCCAACCTTAGGCACTAATTTTTGACCAGTAGACAATTAAACAGGAACGTACTTTGATTCACTCTTTAAAAAGCGTGTGATCCCTAAGAACTAAATAAGCGTTAATGTTTTTCTCAACCATACCGTGAATCACATTTCCTACACCATAAACGACTTAAAAAATAAATTCTTTATAAAGGGGCGACTGGCAATGTGACAGGAAGGAACTTGAAGACCACCTGAGAGTACATGTAACACACCGTTCAGTAAATCTGGACAAAGTAAAAGGATATTCTTCAGTGCTTGAACCAAGTGGAAACAATTAAGAGATGATGTTTGGAATACACTTGCCGGGTTTTAAGAACAAAATGCCACCTGATACGCCCTAGAACGAATAAAATTCCTCACGCTCAGACTGAAAATATGAACTAAACTAACACATCAGCATCTTCATCTTATATATCTTCCATTTGTTATACATTTATAAGGTTAACAAACTGAATGATGCTAAATAAAAACAATAAAACTGTGTGACTTCACCTGTTCCACAACCGTCACCACCAAAACACAACTAATATGTTCTTCTTAAGATAACTTCACGATTATATTCCTTTCCCTGCAGTGTTATCTTAAAGACAGCCAGTTGTTCATTTTCAATAAATAAGCAATCATTGTTGGTATAGCCAGTCACTGGCAATGTTAGTTTAATTAAAAGACCAATTGCTCTAGTAAGCACTGCCTTACTTTTCTTGTTGTGTAGGTGTGTTCACAGAAGTCATTCTATTTCACATTAATTTTTATTTCTGTGTGAAGCCTTCTTAGATTTTTCGATATCTTTCTAGGTTAGTCATGGAAAATCGTTTGCGGCTCGTTCAGCATTTCGATTAAACTCCTCAAAGTGCCGCAAATGTGATATTATTGATGTTAACAGATCTGGCAGCATGCACCTGTCATAATCTGTAGAAATTAATGCCTAAGATGTGTTATTAATTCGTCTAGTATTGCATCTCGCTCTGTGAACTAATAAGCTATCACTATTCTAATGTGCCAAAATTTTATTTTGATTGCATCTTTTTACTTGTTCATTTTTTTTCATAGGTTTGCCGCCTGATTTGGTTCTAATCTGGAAACCTTTCCCATGGATATTTGGTGAACCGTTTTGCATCTTCAAAAACTTTGTCTCCGAAATGACATCCTATGCCTCTATTCTGACTATCACCGCCTTCACCGTGGAGAGGTACGTTGCCATATGTCACCCAATTAAATCACAAACTATGTCCAATTTATCACGGGCTGTGGTTATAATCGTGATCATATGGGTAATAGCCTGCGTCTGCGCCCTACCTTTCCCAATATTCACAAGGACTTTCTACGACATCTTCGACCATGAAGGAAAGCCGTTGGAAGAATCCCTGGTGTGCAGCATCAGTTTTGAATTTTTAGAAGCACTGCGGTACATGGTTCAAATCTCTGCTTTTGTGTTTTTCGTGGCACCAATGACAACTATTATTATTATGTACATACTGATTGGGATCACCCTGAGGAAGTCCGCTGCCTTGGCAAGGGCTTCGTCGGCAGAGAGACGAAGTAACGGACATGCCCACAACACCAGTGGTCTTGGACATGGCAGTTCGGATGCCGTTTCTGGTGTGAGGAAGACTGCTCTAAGAGTATTAGGTAAGTATGGAGAGGGCAGGAAATTGCAGCATAGAGTTTATTGGTCATTTAATAAATATTTATTTGACGTTAATCGCTGTATTTTTTTCTTTTTATGGTGAGATTTAGGTTTATATTACCGGTAGATGACCGGGCATTTATCTCAGCGTACCTGTTAATGGTGTCAGTCTTGGAAACGTAATTGATAGCACCAGAAAACGTAATGATTGAATTCCACATCAAATGTTTAACAAGTGTAGAGGGTGAGATAAATCGATGCAGTTGCTCCCGCTTATGTTAGCTAATTGAAATAGGTGTGTATGTGTGTGAGTTTGTATTTGTATCGTAATCAGTGGCAGTTGCAGAAGTATGTGTATTTGTGTAATAATAATAATAATATATTTATTTTAAGTCTAAACTCCATATGAATATGTTCGTTAGACTTTACAAATATGTACATACATATAACAAGTATACAACTGGTCAAAACACGCTGTGTACAATCTCGCCTCCCTGGGGAGGATACAGCCCCGCTGCCGTATGAGGCGCTGAGTGCTATCAATCTTACAATATCGTTCTCTGCCTGACCAGGACCCTGCTTCAACCCCAAAGTGCTGAGTGCCAAGCGGGGAGACAGCAGGTACCGTTTATAAAGGACTGGTATGTCCCCGGACGGGTTTTGAACCCACGTCCTCCCGCTCCGGAGGCGGACACTCTAACCACAAGGCCATCCGGTGTGAATATATACTCCGTATATAATGTAGACATATTTTAGTTTATGCGACTTTTTTGCTTGGATGTGGTCTCACTTGCGTCGAAGGAATTCTAAAAGGATCAGATTTACAATCATATCGACTATCATAACATTTTATAATGGTTATCCATAAAATGTATCCCAAGAACAATTGCACCTAAACATCGTCTACGTCTGTGAACTGTAGCATACGATAGATTTACTATCTCTAAAGTTTAATGCATCATTGCTTACGTATCACTTGCATCAATATGCTCAGTTATTCTAAAATCGACCCTTTATATGCTAATCAGCTATGATTTGACATGAATTGCAATGACATGCCCAAATTAGATCATAACGAGACGAGGCAGCATCATTAAGACGGGTATAATTTTCAAGTCTACTTGTCGAACGTGAATGATTTCTTTTCCGTAAGAGCATAGTCTTTCGGTTCCACAAATTAGCGTTGATTTAAGAAAAGAAATTCATATTAAGACATTGCCAGGATCCTGTTACTTCTGGAGTGTAAGGAGACACAGGTCGCCGCCAGTGTAATTGTTCATTTATAACGTCTACCAAGGCGTGATTCTAACGGACACTTGGAGCAATGCATACGAATAAGGGCTCAAACAGGGTTATCAGGAAAGGCAACTGTTACAGTGTTTGAGACCACACTTTGAGACACGAGTAGACGCAGATGATGTTAAATCAAATTACATGATGGACGCTTTTGTGGGATCTCAATTATTTTAGGGATACGAAAATATCAAGAGCTCGATTGATTTCTTGAAACCTTGATTAATGAATTTTTGATTGTGTTTTTATTTGTTCCTTTGTCTGTCCGTCTGTTCGTCCAAAAGGAAAGTGTAAATTGGTCTGAATTTATTAATTTTTATCAGTTGATGGACTTCATACAATGGCCTATGAGATAGATTTTGGGAGAGATTCCGATCTGAAAATGGATTCCGGGATTTTACACGATCCATCAACATCGCGAGGTAGGGCTGTCTATGGGTACTTGCAGTATATGTTCATGTCGCTCCAAGGGCTCCTTCACAATGAATCTATCGTTCTAGTGCGCACTAACTCCACAGGGCTCTCGCTGAATGCAATCAGATTTACAGACTAACACGCCTTCTCCGACGTACTCGTATAATCACCAGCGTTCCTATATTATACTCAACGCCAGGAGGAGACGGGTTAGTCTGATTGCATTCAGCGAGATTCCTCGCAATAGCTAGAACGATAAATTCATTGTGAACGCACCCTAACACACTGAAATATAAACCAGGGTGTAAATTCACCCTCAAAGAGGATTGTGGGGTGGTTGCTCTATGAATGTCCTTATTACCTGTAACCAGTCTGTCTACGAAATGTTGGCATTTAGTTAAGTCGATTAAATCACTGAGGTGCTTCCTAAACAATAATATGGTGATGGATTGTTGGAGACCAGAACCCACCAATTAAGGTATTAGATGGGTCCTAGCTGGACGTATGGGCTCTCTTATTTTCCAACTTGCAGATATTGTTAGATTTTTTGGAGAAAAGGGCAATGTCTAATGCATCTACACAACTTTTACAACGCATTCGAATCTGATCTGGAATTTGTAAGAAAGAAACAAAAAAGATATTTATTAAGAGGTTCTAAATGTTTAAAACGAGAACGTTTATATACGGCATAGAAACCATCAATACAAAGTGCCAACTTAAACTCTCATGTTTCTGAGTGTGTTCAATCATCTAGCACTGATGTAAGGTTTCCCAAAATCGACCCATTGCCTATATCATTCAATAACAACACACATCGTCCGTTCTAACTATTAAAGTAGCGTTGGGAATCAACGGGTTGTCAAAATGATATATAGAAACGTTAATGCGCATCACTGATTTGACCGCACCAACAAAGGCCATGTGTTCCGCCGGAAGACGCAATTTGTGGTGAAGCTAAAAACTTGAAATCTGATTTCATTGCTGCGTTAGCTTGGAGTGATATCTCCGTTAACTTGACGACCCTAGCGAGGATAAACCTCCACGCTCCACCTGCATTTATCATTTGAAAATCGTAAAGTGAACGTTATTTTGCAACCTATTTTGTCATTTTATGGGGCTTAAAATTAAAAAATTGACCAATTTGTTTTAGTATCTCGAACTGTTTTATAGCCTACTTTTTTGTTAGAAGTCTACTTCTTTGGCAGATCCAGACAACGATGGACTTCCTCGTCTTTGTGGAATATAAATAAGCTTTAATTAAGAAGCTAAAGTTGATTAAACATCGCCCACCATTGGTATCATTGGTTTAAGATGGCTTGAAAGATGGATGATGAGAATGTATTTATTCTCGCTCCGTGGTATCGGACTATTAGATTGATTCACATTAAACCAATGCTTAAAATCTTATTCTAGGTTTATTTGATTGCATGAAATCTCGGAGGCAATTCAATAAAATAGAACTTAGTGTGAGATATCACTTCTGCCAGCAGTGATCTTATTACCGGCATAAACTACAACATCAAACACTTTAAATTGCCTACGCACCATTCTTCATGTCGCATTCAATTGTTTTTGGTCCAGAAATTAGTAATATGGCCGCTCTAGAAGTGATTCGTTACAGGCGCGTCCAAACTTTTCTGGCCTCTTTTTGGAACTTGTTTTCCTGTGATACGTTGCATAATGGAAAAGTCATCCATTACACAATTATATCGGTCAGTGATTTGGTGAAATCAACCCCCTTTACAAGTTACATTGCATATGATGATAATGCATGCATCCATTTCGGTTCATTATGGACAATTTATATTCATTGATAGATCAATCTGACGTTCGCTGAAAAATGGATTCTATGTCAGTTATGGTGAAACGTAAAAAGTGAGCACTAAAGTCAGCTAAGAATTTTTTTTGCAGTTTCATTTCTAGTCACCACTTCTTTATATTCCACCCTCAACTTTAAGGCTGAACCCTAGCAACGGAAACCCCAAGGGTTAACCTTTAATTCCGAACCTTGTACCCTGATGAGAGAACCGAAAATTAAAGCTGACAAGGAGTTAAATCAGCAGCTTCCTAGGTCACCTATTCTCAAAATTTTGAAAACGGAAACTACAAGGGGTTACCCAAATCTTTGAACTTTTACCCTCAGTGCAGCCTGTAAAATGAAAGGGCAATAAAGTAAGATCTTAAAATGAGATTTTGCTTTTAGGCGTATCTCAGGTAACTGAGATGGAAATGAAATATTCCCCTGTCTTAGAGCAAAGGTTATGCGATTCAGCGCCTCAGTTTCTTTAAGAATTTAAATCAGGTAGAGTATGAAATAACGGAGTTTGCAACAGATTTTAAGGGCGTATCTCTGTAGGTATATGGCGAATAATCTGGGGTCTTTTTTTCGGTGAACAGATCGGTTAGTGAATCTGGGTTGGTGTTTTGTGTAGAGGTAGTCACGCACAATTGGTTTCTATGTGTTAATAAGTGAGTATTGGACATGTAGTACATCTATGTGCGTATGGTTATATGTTTTTTTCTTGACTAATAGGGCGTGCCATTGGCTGGTTACAGAATGTCCATTTAGATAAACACAAGTCGTCTCGATATTCTATTGAACCTTATCAAAATGATACCATCTGGAGTTTTCAACCGTCAAAACCCATTAAAGGAGTGTGGTTTGAAAGATATTTTGATTTTTTTTTAAACCGCCAATGGCACGGTGGTGCAGGTGATATAGTCACACTTTCCAGATAGCATTAAGCGACAGTCGATGGCGGACCAATGTCGTTTTAGCCAGCAGGCTCTCGTAGGAGGGTCGGTTGGAAAAAATTATATTAGTCGAGCGCAGAATGTCTTCTGGATCGTGTGCAGCATACGATATGAAAGAAATGCAAGCTGAATGGCGACTATCAATATCTATTTCCTGTAGGTCGCGCTAAAAAAGAAAGCACCAGCGGCGATAACCCGAAGCGCATTGACTCCTCCAAGCCCACTACAGGAGCAGCCCGCAGAGCCGATGCCGCATCCTTACACCTCTATTTAGGCATGTCGTGTCTCTTACGGTTTGGTTTTACTGTCCTTCTCGTACAATACAATGAAGTGCATATGGCAAGTCCCCAGCTTCTGCCCCAAAACTAATGCGTAGAAAAAAGTTGTCACGTACCACTAATGGCTGGACTTGGTCCTCCGTCCCCCAAGCCAAAAGTCGACAGTCACACACATATCGTGATTTGAATGCATGTCTCATACGCAGCTCGGTTTAAAAAACACCAGAGCGAGCATATGCCGTATTGTACGAGGGATATAGATAACTTTTATTCCAGTTATTTTAGAACTATTTTCCTCCTGTGCTGTCGTTATTTTTTGTGTTTGAGTTTCATATTTACTTGCTCGTCATCCCGATTTTTACCCGGGGTAGAGAAGTTTTAAAAATGTTAGTAAGTCACCCCATGTAACTATACGGTCACCTTTTTATGCATGTTTAATTGTCTGCCATTTATTTGCTATTGTATGCCTCTATTCTATCTCTATAATTGGAGGCAACAATGCTTTTGTTTCTTATGTTTAACACTCCAAACTACCCCTTGACGTACCCTCTGTTTCAAACATTTTCTTTAACCCCCTCCCCCAGTCTCCTTGCGTTGGTCCCGCGCACTAAGCGCGAACTCCCAGCTGCTTTTGCGTCTATTGTTTGGCGATGTACATCTGCTTTTGTTTGCGACTCTGTTACTTTGGTTACGTGGTGTGCATGTCTATTGACAGGTGTGCCCGTTCTTTGTTCTTGCGAGTGACAGAAATGGGAATCTAAATGATATAGTGTATATTCGACCTCTTTACTCGTTAGAATCACTTTGTCTTTCATTTAGCAAATATTTGAGTCTATAAAATCGTTTCAATAGAAAAGCAATGATATAAGCTATAAATGCCAATCCCATTTTTGTAGATGTTTTGTGTTATTACTGACATTTTAAAGAAATAATTAAACGTGCCTATAATGAACAATATCATTTGTAACGATCCTACATCCTATATAATTTTCTGTACATTTTCAGTGGCTGTAGTCATAGGTTTCTTTGTGTGTTTTGCACCATACCACTGTCAACGCTTGATGACGCTGTATGTTACCAAGTGGACATCTGTCCTTCACAAGGTGCACAGCCATCTCTACTATATATCAGGTAAATACAGTATAGTTCATTGGACAAATAAAGCACAAATAACATTCTCAAGTATTAATCGTGTCGCTTACACCCTCCTTTTTCAGGAATAAGAAAAAGAGGAAACATTAAAAGTAAGGTAAAGAGATACGAGTTTGATATAATACGATTTAAATTGTTATTAATTGGCAGGCCCTGGGAAAGTTCCCCCGTCATCAGTGATTGAACGGGACCGTAGCAATAGTCCGAAGGTTCAATTGTCCGAAGGTTCATTGGTCCGAATATTCATTATAGAACCTTCGGACCATTGAACACTTGATTAAAAAATCGATGAAAATGTTACCACTTTTCGGACCAATGAACCTTCGGACCAATGAACCTTCGGACTATCGAGACGCCCCCGATTGAACAATTGTTGAAATCTGCTCCATTTTCAATTTACTACAAATATATTTCCAGGTGTGCTTTATTTTGTCAGCTCAACAGTTAACCCTATACTGTACAACGTCATGTCAAAGAAATATCGTGAAGCGTTCAAAAATTTATGTCATGGATCCAACTGTGTGCGTAAGAATCCACGAATGGCGAGAGGAAGCCTTGGTTCCGGAAGTCGGTTTCCAATGAACAGTTTCAGACGTACTTTTTCTACAAGTATGTACACAGAATCACCCCGAAACAATTCTCGAACCACAGTATTCGGACACCATAATTTTAGCGGATCGAGAGGTCACCAGCATGCAAAACAAGACAGTTCTTCCGCTCTTTTGGCGCCAAATATGGGTACGCGGGATACTTTTCTATCTCGCGAAGCTTTGCGAGATCAAAGGAAGAGCGGAGATTCATTGAACACTAACTTACATAAATGTCCAAAGGAAACTTTTCTCACCCAAAATTCTACGTGTTTGGATGATCAAACAATCAAACCGTTACTGGCTAGGGCCACTAACAAATCTCTAGCTGATGGTAAAATTGACCATGTCTGAAACATTTCAAAGCACAAGGGGATTTTGAAAATATATACATATATAACGCACTGCTCCATGAACGTGGCTACATTGTGGCATACAGGTCTTTTGCCTTACAGGGGAAGCTTTGATTCGCTTCTTTTCAACACCTGACTGCGAACTCAGATCGCTATAGATTTTATTGACCATAAGCGGAAAAAAACTGAATGGAACTCGTTACTTTATTCATAGGTCAAAAAGCTTCTTCGGCCAAAAGACGCATATATTCGTGTCATCGTTGTCAAATACACATGAACACGAGCCTTTGTGAGATTAAACTCTTTCAATGGGCTAAACAGAGCACATTTTATCTGTGGACCTTAAAACAGTTCGAAAGCTCTATAAAATTGCCACATACAAGTTTGACAAAAGTATATTTCCTGTGTTAATTGTCAGATGTTGTATATCTCCATGTACATATGTTCATTTTATCGACAAGTTCGCAATGGGCAAAGGGTAAACGGAATCAGCATGAAAAAATTACATATGTGTTTTTTGTGTGTACGTACCAAATGTAACTAAAGTGCACGTGGTTTGGCCTATTGCTTAACAGAAATGTTCTAATATATTCAAAGTTTCACGCTACATCGTCAGTCTTTTTTCTTATCCAATAACGAAGATCGGTGAGACTGCATGGATTTTATACATTGCATTTGTCTACCTCCCAAAACCCAGGGGGCACATGAGTTATTATAAAATGGTATTCACCTTAATCAGGGCTTAGATATTTATAGATCCTCGCTGGTACTGGGGTCGAATGTAACATTAGATTCTGCAAAGGATCAACGTATTCGTGCTATTATCCTTGCGACTTGGACAATCTTGGGAGGATATTGCAACCGGATCCATATCTAGGTATTTGTCCGCATAACCTTTAAGCTGCAGTACGCTTCCAATGTATGCATAATAAAAGATAGCTTCTCGATTTCCTCGACAGTTTGATTAAAAAAGCATTCGGCCCAATTTATTCGTAAGCCGAATCTTTCAGTTGGTGAAGGTTTTAACAAGCGCGACTTGAGCCCTATCACGGAACATTTTTGTTGCCTAAAGTGGCTGGTGCACCTGGCGACGTGTGATTTTCGATTCAGATTGATAAAGACATGTAATAAACGAACAGTTATGTCACAAAAGATGAAAAAGGCGTACATACAACACACAACATGTTTGTCCTTTTATTTGTTTTGTGAAGGCCCCCTGAGAATGGAAGCTGCTGGGATAAATAGGCCTGAAACTAAAATATAGATTGTTGCAGTGTAGAAGACAGCCTAATCCTAATTAATTTTAGTGCACTTTTCGTAAACATTTATGTACGTTTTATGGGTCGAATATCACCTGTACAACGGACTCCTGTCCCTAGAGGACTACTATTCCTGTCACACCGGTATGTCCACTGGACGCGTGAAATATGTTCACTAAAGGCTCCATTCAGAATGGATGATCCAAGTGCTTACTGATCCGCCGATTAAATATGGCCGGACATAGTTCAAAGGCGATGCCGCTTATTCTTGATGGTCTCCCCAACTCCACAACGTGCCTTTAAACGGATTAAATCTCTGTTCCGAGTTTTAATTGTCAGGCCCCTGCAGTGACGGCACGTGTGGATGCGGGGAGACCATCAGAAATCAGCGGCATCGCTTTTGAACTGTGGTCGGACATATTTAGTCGGCGGATCAGTAAGTACTCGGATCATCCATTCTGAATGGGGCCAAAGACATCGTTATTCATCTAAATTTCAGAAGTTATTTCCTTTCAGCACTTTATTACTCAACTCACAGATCCTGCATTCGATTTTTTGGGGGAACTCCTTAATGACCGTTCCTTTATAGGAGCTTTGTGCTAATGGTATACGTGTGGCAGAAGTTATATTGAATTGCTGTAGTCAGGAATTACACAGGGAAATATCTCAAGCGAATGATATCAAATGAAAATGCTTATTATCACGGTATCTGACGGCGTTGACGTTTCCTGAAACAATTAGCTAAAATCTTTTTAAAGTGCCCCATTCATAGACAGAAACACCCCAGTCTAAAAAGTGATCCACGAGAGGTATGCGCACTCGAACACGCGCTAAACTGTGAAATAGCTAATCTCCAGATTCATTCAGTCAAAACCATACAGTATCCAGTGATACGTATAGGCTTTCAAGTGCTGCCGGGTCCACCGGGTCTTTAAGCGTGGTGAACCAGCATCAGTCATGGTTTCCTTTGCATGCTTCTTGCTCTTTTATTTTGAACATATGTGTGGGTGTCTCTATATATTGCAATCACCTGTGTCTATCCGTGTCGCCAGAACGGGAACTGTAACCAGGCATATTTCTTGTTGGCGAAACATCTGAGCAGAAATATTACCATTTTGCTTCAAATTCACAAGGATTTCTCTCTTGATATAAGTTCGAAAATGGGCATCATCAGATTTTAGCGTTCTTCAAATTCTCAGTTCTCCAAAACTGGAAGGACTTCGCCCATGGTTTATTCTGAGCTTGACATGGAAACCATGACCTTTAATCTGACTTTTTACCTTTCTTTTACACTGAAGTGCATTTCTTTTCAATTTCAAGAACTCAGGTCTTCAAAACTGAAGGGATATACCAATATTAATGCTATTAGAATTGGAAACCATATGGCAAATCAAACTTTTACCTTTGATTTCACCTTTGGTCTACTTACTACTGTTATATAAATTTTGTACATTGCTGTGCGATTTTGTCAGCATAAACTGAATGTCCTGCCTTTTATATCTCATAAGCGTATAAAATGGTTTCAGAGGAGATGCTGTAATGTTAGCACTATGGCATTTGAAAAGGTATGTATATATGTAAAATACTTAATGTGCACAGTTATGCAGTGAAATTAAAACTGATGAACAGGAAAATTTTTAATATTGAAAAGATGGTTATATTTTGGAGCAGCAAACACAGATATGCCACGGAACCTGTTTTCAATTGGAATCGTTTGATTCCATAATTCGAAAACGTTTTCAGATTTGAAACGAAATATACTTAGTATCATTTAATGAAGTGTGCCCCATTCACTGCCATGAACGCTCAGTCTGCCATTACAGAACCAGTCGATAAGCACGGGTAATACATTCCGTCGGCTCGGAATTGTCTTGCTATTCATTTAATCTTTCATATAAAACCAATCTTCATTCGATTTACTGATCATGGCGCTGCCTTAACACAAATTGCCATTATGATGAATGACCATCTTGTTGTATAATCTGAGAGGCAATTGCTCCTTGGTAGTCTGAATTCCCGGTCGGTTTCACCACACAGATCATCGACATTTGAACTGTTAAGGTCGAGATCTACATGATAAACACTCTATGGGATGTCTGCTTTCTTATCTCTGATAATAAGGTTTACAATTTTGGTAATGAATATACCAAAACCAGCACGGTGTTTGACCCACGAAACGAAAGAAGCATTTTGTTTATCAGTATGTTGTTCAGCTTTAGTTCTCTTCACTCCAAACTTGATCATTTATTGCATAACGTGTTAGAGATAATGGAAAAGCATTCGCTTTTAAATCTCTCTTATTGGGGATCCCTTCAAGAAAATCTCAGGCCATCCTGACAAATGTCTTTCCGACTTTTGCAAAGATTGTCACTTGTAATGCATTGATAAAATCAACTTACAAAGCGTGAAAGATAGCGCGGCATGCCAGACTGGAGATACAGTTAAGCAAGGAATATTACCGAGGCTCATTTAACCTTATTGTAAGTCAACCAAATAATCATCCCGTACTTGGATGTATTTTTGCACGACAGTGATTAACGAGTTCCTTTCCCTATCAGTATTTCAATCAGCTATCTATAGTTTTACTGCGGCTATGAATCAATCATCGAGATCTGCTAAAATTGCTTAGTACATATTACACGGACTGGTCGCCGGTACTTGAGCGGATTGCAATGCTCTGCTTTTCGTTAATAATCAATTTACACGCACCAGCATGCATCCTCATGTGAGTTTATAACAAGGTTTACAGGCAACACTCCCTTTCGAAGACAACGCTCTATTTTTGTTATCATTTATTTTCATATAATATATTATCCATATCATTCGTAAAATTTTAATACAGAAATATATAGTAATTTAACAATAATAAATGATATCAAATTATGAATGATCTTTGTTAGGCATATTTTTATTGGCACATTTGGTGAATTGTTTGGTAAGATATTTTTAAACAGTAAACTAATAAATGAAATGAAAATGTTGCAATGAAATAATATTCAGGCTAGGAAAGCAGTTGTTTAAAACCTTCACATTTCAATACTAGACCTTGTCAACTAATAAGGTCATCCCGCAATGCAGAGCTAATTTCTTTGTGTATAGCCAGAGGCAAGGTCTAGCAAGTATTCTCTCAAATACTCAACAATACATCATGTTCCTGTCAACAATTACACATACTGTGAATACAGGTTTCCCGTGGACTTTGTCATACCTGACAAGTACAGCTATACGGAATCTTCACTACCTGGATATTTTTTTTACTTATTAATCAAGTTAAACAGCCAAACTCAATGACACGAGTTTGCTCAACGGCTTAATGTTCTCCGTTGGCACATCTCGCACCCTTCAATCATTTTATCAGATCACGCAATGTATTATTCGTAACACCATCTAATTGAATTAGAAACTATTCTAAACTGACTAAATGACATTAGTTGCAAATCCAATGTACAGATACTTGTAAACCCCCCTTTACACTGGACGGCGTCCTTCCTGCGTCCTTTGTGCGACCATGAAATTGGCATCGCTGTGGTCGTAGAAAGGAGGCAAAAGCATAGCTTTGGTTGCAGAATGAATGCTCAATGATCAGCTAGTTGTCGACATGTAAAGTACGATTTTTTACTCTCAAACGGGGTCGTACTACGGGATGAAGGAAGGACGCCGTCCAGTGTAAACGGGGCTAAAAACAGACGACACGCACGTACGGTTTTAAGTTGATCTAAATTATCTTCGTTTTAAAAATTTAGAAATTGACTTAACGGGTTTATATTTACATTGAAATGCAATTTAAGCAAACAAAAACAAAAAATTTGCATTTCAAAAGTTTTGGAATGTCATATATAAATGAGCACAATACACAGGCTTACACTTTCTTGGATATTTAACGGCGCTAACTTTCTAAGAAGCACAAACGCTTATGGTCCACATGTTCGAAATACTGACTGAACTTCATGGAACAAAAACAGTTAATTATTACCATTTCATTTATATGCTATTAAGACAAAATGTTATTTCAGATCACTTGTGTAGAGAGCCAGCGGCAATCACTCATCCAATTAAACAAGCAAGATCAGACGCCACATTAAACTCGCAAAATGAACGAGGTAAAATTTCCCTGTTGACATTAAACTTAATTACGTCCTTCACAGCACAGACAGAACCCTCCCTCGGAGTGGCATCACTTTAACAAGATAAACACGAAAGTGTGACATTTACCAAGAACTAACGGCACTTTAATAAAACTCAGTTAAAGCACTATGACAGAGAAGAGGGCCGGTTTTAATACTTCCTCTATTCCCCCTAGAAATTGTATAGCGTGATGGAGCTCGACTAGGAAGAAGGGGGGTCATGACCTTGTCGGAAGACTGAAAACCTTTGCCTTATTGCATTTACATGCCACCCTCAATTTAGCCCTTTTGGTGGGATTAGATTTGGTCATTTGACTGCCTTTAACAAATGAAAAAATCACCACCAAAGCAAGGGCAACAACCCCTTCCCCCCAAAACGTTATTTTATATACATGGCCTATTGAAACCAAGCAAAAATAATTGGATTCCAATTGAACAACGAAAAACTTTTAGTTTGCAGCAACGTGTTTGCAGGAGTTTGCAAATTTGCAGCAGGTCTGAGATTTTGCTAAGGGAAGTTTTTAGTTGGATCTGGTCACAAAGCTCTTATCTAGAATTACCTGTTCAACAACCTGCTCTAGAGTAATATCACAAAATTAACACATCCTCTCTTTCACCTACTCAGCAATGTAACAACTTTGTTCTTTTAAACACCATGTGTCCATGTTTGCCTCAGTGACCCTGGCACATGCAATGCAATGAATATATAATTCTAGGAGTCACGCTTTCATGTCATTACATATATACAGCAACATCTCTCTGGTATTGCTTTCATTAAGAGTAAATAAGCACAAATCAGCTGTCTCTTTGCTTTCAATTATACAGGTTAAATATTGCTTTTGTTTAAAATATATCATTATATTTATGCTTGTCAGGGAATCTATCTTCTCAAAAACTCCTGTTTATCTTTGGATCCTGATTGTCACCATGGTTACCTAGTGGTTCTATATTCAGCTCTCTCCCATGTACACAAATCTCTTACAACTGGTCTTCTAGGTTACCTGGAGAATAGAACAGAGATGTTTATGTATACTTATGGCACCTTTTCAAAAATTTTCTAAATTATTCTGTCATGCTATTCAATAAAGCTAATGAATAACAGCTTAGTACTTAACTATGTTTAAAAATGTAATCAAGTGTTATGTTGTTTTTTGTATTGACTCTAACTGTCCACATACTGTAAATTAAAAATCCACCAGATGGCAGATCTGTTCAAGTGATATGTGAAATTCAGAAATAGATCTGTCACTCTCATAATTTCATGTGATCCACAAGCAGAATCATATATTAAGTTGAGTTTTATTGTTTCCACTTAATACCGATTTCTTTTCAAGAAAATGTGTCCTTTCATAACAATGACTGGACTTGGACATCAATTAGGAGACGAAGTCATTAACACCTGCCATGCCTCAAGATCATGTATCATCAACTAGTACATACATTACTTTGATAAATAATATCACGGCTGCTTCTTATGAACATCATAAGTTGCTGCCATGATTAATAAGAAGAACAGAGAAAACCTTTGCGCATGGAAGTCAACAAATGTGAGTTCCAAAATGTGTAGGACTGAATACACCAGGTACCCCCTACTCTGATGACTAATGAGGTTCCAGCAATAAATCAGGTGAAAGTTTGCACTCAGAAGACACATGAGTAGCAAATATAAAATTGTGGGTGCAAAAAGATCTTAGACCCATATCTGAACTTATCATGTTCAGTGACTTTCAAAATGATCTCACAGACCTTTAAGTGCAAAACCTATTTGCAAAGGCACCACGTTTACGGATAGCAAATTTATGCTTATCCCAAACAAATAACGTGTTCACTCCTACAAATATTAGATATAAGAAAAAAAGAATTAACCAATCCTTCAATTTTCATCTTTTACTGCAAAACTCTTGCTGTCACAATCTCCTCAGGGGAATAAGACTACACGTATAAGCTTTTAACTACCAATTGAGATGTGCATTGTTCCAAGAAGCATGGCATGGTGGTGACTGGAGAATTTAATTGCCAATTTATGTTTCTGCTTTTTGACAACAATGAACTGTTTGTGAAATTTGTGTGACCAAACTTCATCATCGCAAATAAAGTAAGACGAGACCAAAAATATTTTTTGATTTCAATATATTCATTGGCTTCCAAGAATCAATAAATTCCGAAATACCATTCTTTGTGCAAGGTCCCCAGATAAATATGATCAGATATTGGTCAATTTCTTAACAGTGCACTTGATGCATATAAATATTTTGGGCGGTTTTCTTGAATTAAAAAACAAAGTTAGCATTTCAGGGCCCAATACTGATTGTCCTGAGCCCGTGAACTGAGCTCAACTGGAACAAAATCGCTGGGGAAATTGCAATTCAGGACATAATATATATTTAGTAACATACTGACAGTGAACCATAACATTAACAGTAACAACTGTAAGGGTTATGATATCTATAAAATGTCCCACTTGAACACTTGTCTTCAATCAAATAGAACCCATAGCCAATTTGACAAAAAGTTACTGAGCAATTACTGCTCCATCAAGATACTAATCAATTTTACATAAATGCACAAGACTATCAATACATGTAATGCTCTTTTTGAAATGGAAACTTTGTGCTACCAGCATTCTTCTTTGGTCAAATGTTGACCAACCTTCAAACAGCATATTTTGTTTTGAAATGCCAGAAAGAAATTTTCTTCCAGTCTAAGTTTTATATGCAGTCCAGGAAAAAATAGCGGCAGTATAACCACTACAGTATTTAACTACACTAAAGTAAAAGTAATTTAACTGCATGTATTTGTGCAAGAAGTTTTCCTCAAGTCATTACAGCCTATCATAATTAAATTTAAAAAAAAAAAACCTGTAAAGTATCCTATCAAACTACCACTATATATTCATCAAAATAACACACTAAAATGACCAATATTTAGTCTATGTTTCATCGTTAATAAAAAGGTTAATTGTAAAGGTTTTTTAACAGTTCAACCCGGACCTTCCTGCCATGCACTCTATGCCCTCTTCACCCTCAGTGTTCTCCCTGTCATGCACTATGACCTTCAGGAGGGCAGATATAAATATCAACACAGAGGGAGATATATGTATTTTCATAATGCCAAAACTCAATGCCTATCATGAAATACGGCCGTATGCTACAGGAAGATATCTAAACATTATGGGTGTATGTGAAAGATCATCACATCACAGCTGGTACTAGTATTCCTCATGTGTCTGTGCAAACATCTGAGCTGAGAGTAATGGTAGTTAGAATTGCACTGTGTGCAGACATTTACATTTCCAAGAAAAAAAAATTGGAAAATTTCAAAGCAGATTGGCCTGACCAGTTTCTATGGCATACTGCATAACACATCATGCAATCTTTTAACCCAAAAGCTTAAATGCTCAGGGCAAACTCATGAATATAAATATGGATAATTACAGCAGTATTAAATGAGTTAATGACCAATAAATTCAGCATCGGTGATCCTTACAATCAAGAATTATCATAATCATCCTATAACAAATCCAATCAAATGATAGTAATGGCTCCTGCAACTCTCCAGTCCCTGACTTAACAGAGATCTTTATACGGTACTCAACTGGCGCTTGGGCAATTGTCCTTGCCATGATGATATTACCAATATCACTGGACAGATAAAATTGGTCGGCTCTAATCAATTGGCAATAATCCCTACTTTAATTGTATTGGGAATAGAGAATAATTGACGGACATCTTGACAAGTTCTCTCTTAGGAATAAATGTGAACAACAGGTCAAGGGCTAAGCTTTTGAGAAAGAAAACCTTAAGAACACTTTAATCAGGATGCATTCTCAATGCATTGTTTTTATTTACTTAAGGCTAATTTGTTTGTTGATCTATACTCATATATCCTTAAAAAATTTAAAATTAATAAAAAAACATTGATGGTGAAGTTACTACCCCCCCCCCAAAAAAAAGGGGGAGGATTAAATAAACGAACAATCTAAATAAATAAAAATACTAATTAATCATTTTTACATTTTGTTAGGATGCACCATGTTTAATCCTATTTCAAAATTTTAAGATCAAGGCCAAATATTGAAGAGGAATGATAGTTATATTACTCTGTTAAGTGTTATTGAGTCCTCACCTTCTCTTCGAAGTACAAGTAGATGCAGCATTACCTTGGATCTATCTATCATATTGAACTAAATGCCATGAGTTAAGATATATGTATAATTGTCTACTGGCAGCCATCAGTATTTCTTACATTTGTACATCTATCTTTTTATATAATTATACCTTAAATTTTCTCTGTCACCATCAAAATGTTTCAAAAAAAAAAAATTATCACTATTAACAAAATGGGCAAAGTGATATCACCCATGAGAATTAATTTTCTCTCTTTTCCTTTTGCTCAAAGAAATAAAAGCATTACATTTTCCAGCCAACCTACAAGATGGCACATTTAACACATATTCAAGGAAAAGTGTGAACAACATAAAATGCTACTATAAGACATCTAATCCATAATGCATGCAACTGTACTGCTTCTCATAAGGCCCTACAAAGGAGAACACTTCTATTCCTCTTGACCTGAATATAATGGGTTTCACTTTCCATCAATAGTAAGACAATTACTTAAATACACATTTCTTCTTCTGTAAGTCATCTGTAGACAATATGTGTTCATTCAAATGATACCTTGACTTACTCTGGCTAAAGTACTTTAAACTTATACCAATAAACAAAATTGGTTTCTTTTAAAAGCACTTGCACTTAAAGGCCCAACAAGTCACTAAACCTCATGTAATAATAAAAAAAAAATTAAACGACTGAAGATACTGTTTAATAATATGAGATTAGGGCCTTTGATTTGTTAGTTTTATCTTGTTTTTACTGTAACTTGTTGTGGCAAGTGCACAATGCATCTAAAGCAGAGACTAAAATGACCCTTTAAAAAACATTAATCCCTCAATCAACTTGGTTCAAAATTTGATTGAGCTGGGTTGGAGTCAAGTATTACATTTTTTTAAACCCAAAAAGAAAGTGGCCCATCTATGCACATATGAATGTTAGGTTAAGGTTCAGTTAAAAAGTTTTCCCTTGTGTTTAAATTAATGCAATTAAAAACAGTTATGACATTTTTCAGCCACCTTAAATGTGGGTGCATAAAGATAATCAAATGAGGATTCTTAAATAAAGTTAAAAGGTTTCATAAATCATCACATTGCTTTCATTTCATTAACATCAATTATTTTTCAGTTATACAAGTCAGGATAGGGAACACATTTGAGTGAGTGAACAACTACACCATGAAAGCAAAGCTTGTAAATATACAAAATCTTAACGAAAGAAATTCATTCCCATTGCTCCATTTTACAGAAACGGGTATATTCCAGTAAACAATTACTTATGTTAAAACCATCTAACCACACTTAGGCCGCACTTTTTTATTTTTATGGATGACATCCTCTGGATACCCCAAAATTGGTGCGAGGGCGAAAAAAAAACAACAAAAAAACAGTCCAAAAAGAAATACTGCTTAAGTAAAGGAATGCTGTCAGTACACAGCTGGAAACACAAATTTTACCACAGAAACACTTATCAAACTAACAATATGTCTTTATCCATGCTCTCAAAATATTAAAGCATTGTGAATACTTTGTAGAAATGTAAAAAAAAGCTATGAATAGCTATACTTCATATTACCAAATCTATTTAAGGTTATTTCATGCATTTAGTTGGTATAGCAATCAATAAAATAAATATCAGTCAAAAAGTGTGTCTTTATTTGTATTCTCAGAATATTAAAGCATTTTGAACGCTTCACAGAAGTGTTTAAAAAATGATGCAAAGATATGCATAATACTACCTACTAAGGTCATTTCGGACGATGTCATTTTGTCTACTTCAACTCACACAAAGCAGCCAAACTGTCAGGTGGCCTGTCCGACCTTCAGCCCACCGAATACCTCAACTCCCTTGTCGACCCTTTTTTCGCTACAGAAAACCTGGTATTAATGTGCTGCTTTGTACAGAATGTCACAGACATTTTTCGGGCAATAATTGCTGGCCGCCGCCAGCCTTTCACACAATTGTAAAAAGGTGATATCTCCATGCCCAATATCAATGGCATACCAATCCAAAACGACGGTGCCCGTTCTCTTTATGACTTTTATTGTTGTGTAATTTGAAAGTAATCCTAGAGATGAATTTGATGGCAAAGCGGCCGCATTTCCACGTGGCGATAATACGCATGCGCAGAAAGCTCATTTCCTGGCAAATTCTATAACATCTTTTGCGACAACCGACTTCGTTGGGGGCTGGGGGGGGGATTTTTTTTTTTTTTTCGTTTTTTGGAGAACGGGCGAAAATCGGTGCGCGCGCAGGATGTCATCCATAAAAATAAAAAAGTGTGGCCTTATGTTCAAAAGTTACTCAGAAAAGTTGAAGTGAAAAACATACAGTCATCACAAAAATACAAGCAAAAAAAAAAAAAGCTACTTTTGTAAAAATAATTTGATCATGTCAATTGTCAAAAGGAACACAGACATTAAACAAAGTTGTAATAAAACAAAAATATGGTTTGGCAGTTATAGGGTGAACAACAGATTCATTGGATGGAACCTGACTACAGAGACAGTGAAAAGAATATATGCAGATACATAGAGACCATTCCCACTAACTTTGGATCGATCTATCTCCAAGGGGGTTCTCACTATATTGCTATCAACTTCAGTGGCTTAGATGTCTTGCACACCCACTGAAGCTGTTAGAGGGTAATTAACTATCGTTTAGCGGCTTCAGTAGGTGTGCCAGATATAAAAGATGTTTAAGCTAAAAGCAATTTAGCGAGAAACCCCTTGGAGATGGGTCAATCCAGTTAAATCAATCTAGGCATGGGAACACAGTCATAGAGTGTCTGTATATAAAATTAGTTTGATAAAAGAATTTTATTTAACAAATAATGATTATCATAATATAAACAGATATAAGAATTAATTGTTTGTAGAAAAAAGATCCTCTTTTTAAGAAAAAATCCTATCAAGTCAAAAAAATATATATGCAAAAAAATATCAAAAGGCTAAAGAGACTACATTTCTGCCTGGATACATCTGCAGTTTTACACTAAAATGACTTATTTACTCTATTGTGAAAAAGGTCTAAGTATTTAACACTTCACCTCAAATGAAAAATGTCCTATTCACTGGGAAGGAAGTACAATACAAGTATGGGAACTTTTTGTTCAGAAAGCTCCATTTCAAGTGTGATTTTTTTTTTTTTTTTTGCTTTGGCAGCACAAATGTTTTTTTGCTGCAAACCAGAATAGGTGTGGTGACATATTATGTGGTAATTTTGTGGTGCTGAATTAGAAACACGTACAGAGATGTACTTTTGAAGTGTGCCATCAAAAAGGAAACATTTCATTTATCAAACTTCTGTTTCTCTTACCATTATTTAAGTGCATCCCTTGAGCAATGGCATCCTTGATGCATTCATGAATGTAAATATACTGGTCCTGAAAAACAGGAAAAAGATAACGTACCATCATGATCACTATAAATAATGTCAACGATCAAAGCATCCCTATATATCTAAATCACTGCCCATGTCATTTCAACAATCCCATTGCCCTCTCAATGTACCACTGCCCCTGGATCCATAATTCATTTTATAAATAGTGTACTGTTGATATCCTGAGCTTGGGACAGGGAAAAAAATAAATTACAAGCTAAGAACATCCTCAGTGCATTATACATTCAAATGTACAAAAAATCTTAGTTCTTTGAAAATGCCGTCTGATCTTACAGTTTCAGAACTTTTCATCTCTTTATCAATTCTACAACACACCTCTCTCTCAAAAAAAAAAAAAAAAAAAAAAAAAAATCCTCAACACATCATACTTCATTTATACCATTCATCATTTCATCTTATTCTCCCAGAAGTCACTTCTGGTCAGACTGCTCCAATTCTTTTACTCTCAGTGATTGCAAGAACATTTACCAATGATTTATTCACTCTCAGTCCCAAGTGGTTCATCTAATCCTCACACCAATATGATAGATTTGCTCAAACTTCAAACTGAAAATGTCTCATATGTGAAAATACTGCCCATTGTTGCAATTTGCTGACTAATGACTACCCCATTCCCCATTGTGGGCTTTAATGTCACACCTGGCTCCAGGTGATAAGTGACCCCTTGACCTTATTACTAGGTAATAGAGCTCCCCTTAATTTACCTCTTTGGGTCAAGGCAAATCGGTCATTTGAGCAGACATAGATTGGTTTTCTAATGTCTGTAAGAGCAGTCCATTGCCTTATTTAGAACAGCACTATTAAAGACCTTTTATCACCAATGACCATTGGGGAGCCCTTAATTTTCTTTAACAAACATGCCATCAGAAAAATCTGCAGTTCTTCCTGTTATGGCCCTTGGAAATGCTCACAATGATAAAAACATATATCCATGCATGAAGGGACTACAACCATTTCCTGCAAGTGATGCATTCATGCCCTTCCAAACAGCACTTTACATTAAAGTTAATTCAATTAATTATCGTTCAAGACTAAGTTATAAATCAGAAAAAAATGTGAAAGCAAAAAAGATCATCTAGAACCAGAAAAATCTGCTTGGATGATAAACTGAGGGATAGAACATGCTATCATGTTACATCATATCAGGTGTGAAAATAGTGAAAAGGCAGCACAAGGTGAATCAAAGCCATAAACTCAAAATCATTAATTCTATATCTTAAACTTTGAGGTATTTTTTTCTTCTTTTTTTTCTTGAAGTAGCTGAACATTTAGTACCAACAACTATATTTATAAAAATAAGAAACAATAGAGAAACATTCAGACTATGGTGATGGATAAATATGGCAAACATCACTACCTGTACATAAAAACTGTTTTCTCTTTAAAAAAATATCCGTCCACTACAGCATAAGACAATAAAAAATTCAACCATTTTTCAATAAGCAAGTATGGGAAAAAAAGGTGGAATTAGAAGTTACAAAAATTAAATACTTTCTCAATCTTCAGCAGAGCTGAACTCTTGAATCTTGTCACTTATAGTAAGTGGACTATGGGCTCTATGCCCAAAATAAGAAAAAAGAAAAGAGAATGGGATAGGTAATTGGCATTTACTCTTACCTATCATACACAAAGTTTTGTTAGTAGAAAAGAGAACAGATACTCCAGGGCCCTCCAATCAAGATAAAAACAACACAGCAGACAGCTAGATCTTTCTGCTTACTCACAAATGGAAATTAGTGAATAAATTCACAAAGCGTTAAACCATTTCACTTCCACATTATAATGTTAGGGTGAGGGTGCATCTGTCATTATCTTCTGAGATGATGTTCTAAATGCAGCACCCCTATGCAGTAGGCCTACTCATCTGACACCTTTGAAATTCAAAATCCTGTAAACATTTTCACAATCCTTACTAACAGCAGTTTGCTCAAGATTGAATAACGAACCAAAAGGTTACTGATTATATAAATGCTTTAAAAAGGCCATGCCAACTGTTACCTATGTAACTGACAATATAATGTGATTAAGAATGCTGACAAACTGTTTGAACCAAGAAGAATCCACTGCGGTATAAAACTATTTACTCGAGAGAGTGTCAATAGTAGATGCGAGCACAATCATTCTCCAGCAGAGTTAACTGATGAACCTATGGGTTAGCAAGATGTGTGGGGACATCTCTCTCAATTGGGGCACTTCTTTTGGATTTTGTAAGAATTTTAATGTCTTGGTGTCTTTTCTTCCTTTTTGGGGAAGGGTGGAGGGCGCATCTGTCATTATCTTCTGGAAATCACAATTATAACAAGTGCAGTCAGGTGACCTTAGAACAGTAGGGAAAAAGTGATGATGATAAGGTAAAAAGGTCGGTGCACTGGTGGACAGTGCATCAATACCTCTTGAAAAACAGACCTACTGTGAGCCCATCCACAGTTTCTACTGTTCTGAAGTAGTTCCATTCCTTAACAGAGCTAAAGAGATTAACAATATGACAAAACAATCCATCACACAGCCTATGATTCACTCAGAATAGTACACCCCACCCCACATATGGTGTCCTACAGGTGGAACATGGCAACTAAAAAATCCTCCATTGATCTACATATTTACCATTCCAATTTATTTTAAAATATAAATAAATAGAATGTTTTATGTGCAGTTGGAGGTTAAATCTGTGGTGATATTTTTGTAAATTAAGAATAATTCACTTAGTTGTAGGGCCACAGGAAAACAAAATGTATCAACATGTATCAGTATAATTCCAGGAAATCAATACTTCAGGAATGACTGATTCCTCTTTTCTCCTTGACATACACCCTAGTAATACAACAAAAAGTTAAAGAAAATCTTCTGAAAGGCCCACCCAACAGTTAAGAAGTATTTTCTAATAATAGACCCAAGACCTGGTCTGACTGTAACCTTTTGGCCTTATAATTTAGATGTACAATGCATATAAATAAAATTAACAAAATCATAACTACAAATAAACATGATAAATGCTCTGCATAGCTTGATGTAAAGCCATCCTTCTCTGCCAAAAAGAATCTCCATACATCACTTCCACATAAAACTATTTTATTTCTGTATGATTAAGATCACAGTTTTATTAATGCCAGGTGTAATGATGAAATGTCATCAAATTTGGCAAAAGGTCAATTCTTCTAAACTTTTCAATAGAAATACCAATAGGAAAGGGGCTAGGCATTAATAAGATAGGGACCAGTCATGCAAGACCAAATTAGGAAAAAGTTATGAATAATTTATTGACTTCATCACTTTATGCTAATTATCTCAGATTAAGAAAAAACAACAACAACAACAACAACAACAAAAATGACTGATAAATGCACATGAAGAAAGTGAATATGTTGCATTTAACAATGTGGATACCATACATATAATAAGAATAAAACCATTTACAAAAATAATTTGTGTTGAAAAAAATATATAAGGACACTATGCAGGGTTACACTTCACACCATATTCACACTTCTGGTACAGAAATACCAATGTTTCTCTACTATGTGGAAGTTGTTCACATTAAACATAATCATTTTCACTGGATGACTATAACATTGTCATTTCCTTTGAGACAAAGAAAGATAAAATGACACTTCACTGAACAAAAAATGAGAGTGAAAAAACAACTTATTTAAAAATCTAAAACACTTGTACTTATATTTTGGTCACAATGATAATATTAATTTTATTAAAAAGGTTAGAGTCTATCATATAAAATCAATCTAATGAGCATGTCCAATGTAATTTTCATTAAAAGTGTTTACCCTGAAGTGCTCTGTCATAGAAAACGAAGTCCTAAAGTCATTTAAATTCAATTATTATAGTACAACTTACTCCAAGTGTTAGGCACACATCCTGGAGACAAAGTCTGGCATGTTGCATTTTAAAAGCATATTTAGATTATTTATTTTTGACAGAAAACTCAGTAACAACATAATCTCACACTGGAATACCAATCATTTATCACCATTGCTTTTCAAAGCTAAAATGTGGTAACACTTTATGTGTATATATTTTTTTCTTTATCATTTTGCTCACTAAAGAGTGACTTAACAGTAAAGTGATACATCAATGCATTGATATGTTCTTAATTGGATAGTCTATGACCACAATGTCTTCATTGTAGCTCAAAGACCAATCAGATTTTTATAAAATTGTAAAGCAAAGTCAATTCCATACAGTAAAATGACACCAGGTTAGATTGAACTGTTCAAGACATAATTAACACCTCTGCTTAGGGTGGAAAGGAAGCATGTAAAACATTACTAATTTGATCAAGGTTAATTGCATACAGAAAATTGTCTTTCAGTTGTCTGTGCTTCTTCAACATGGCTCTTGGGCTAAAATATGGTATAAAATTTCTAACAGATATAATGCTTTTATTATCAATGGAGATGGGGAATATGATCAAGGCCCACGGGGGCTGGGACAATAATGTACAACTTCCAGTAGATAGACACAAAAAGCACTGACAGCCCATTTGGAAATCTTTGCAGCAATGAGTGTTTATTTGTGCATCAACATACTCTCTAGAGTCAGAGATAGCATTCAAACTAAGAATAATTAATAATAAGCAAGGGACTTTTAATGACAGTGCTGAAAATTAGGAATTGATAAAAAGCTGACATCTAACATAATTACTAAGGAACATGCCCTTCATTTTCCATCATGCTAAATTCTGCTAAACTGTGGCTGATATTTATAAGAAAATAGTCTTGGTGATGTGGTATGCTGTCCTCTAAATTAAATATTATTTAAGCTTGGGAGATTTGATGAAGATGGGGACCTGCAAGGTCCCTATAGAACTGATAGGTGTAATAAGCGTGAAGACTTCAAAAACCTGAGAATAATTGAGAATCGTCAGCATCATTTAAGCTGCTATGCAAGAGCAAACTGGAATATTTAGCATCAATTTTCATCCACAGATTCAAAGATGATATATGACTAATCTGTTTTCCCATCTGGAAAACTGACCCAGGAATGATCATCAAAGGTTATGTCGGTCATCCTACAAAAAATGGCTCATTGAGTCACATCAGTGATGGACACACACAATAATTGCATAACTGTTATATCACTTCTTAATCACTATCCATTTGTTCCACATTGGGAAGGGGGGAAAACGGTAGTGTAAAACATAAAAAATAATGAGACAATTAAGAATTGTGTGAATGTTACATAAAATGACTTCTTTTTGTGGAATGACTCTTATGATGGATTAATTCGATGTTGCTCATGTTTGCCAACATTAATTCCTCTTACCACCATCACTCAGCTGTCCATCCATGCAACCACAAAACCCTCACACCTGCTGTAAAGCACCGCATTTGTATTTCTTGTCTTAATTTGCCAAACATTCCAGCATTCACATCACCCATCATTATTTCATGCCAGACATCAAAGTACACCTGCACTTGCTATTTGATAATTGATAGTAATTAATGCAGTAATTTTCACTTTTTGACAATGTGACAAATTTATGTCAAGCCTATCTGTATAATTCTCCAATGTTAATAACAATTTCTTGAAATGCACAACTTTCATGAGAAAAAAATATAAGGGCTAATAAAAATGTCCTACTTTATGCAGAAATTATCAACACCCCAAATAAATAAATTAATAAAAATAGATAAAAAGCTCACCTCTGTCTGCACCATGTTACACCTGTTTTCCCTCATCTCCAGCACCAGGCCAAAGATGTCCACCTCATTGTGTTCACGGATGTGCTGCAGAAGCCTGTCCACAGCTATGAAGGTCCCTGTCCTGCCCACTCCAGCACTGGGNTAAGAGAAAATCTCAAACCTACATTCCCTCCTTAACTCCTCTTACCACCATCACTCAGCTGTCCATCCATGCAACCACAAAACCCTCAGACCTGCTGTAAAGTACTGCACATGTATTTCTTGTCTTAATTTGCCAAACATTCCAGCATTCACATCACCCATCATTATTTCATGCCAGACATCAAAGTACACCTGCACTTGCTATTTGATAATTGATAGTAATAAATGCAGTAATTTTCACTTTTTGACAATGTGACAAATTTATGTCAAGCCTATCTGTATAATTCTCCAATGTTAATAACAATTTCTTGAAATGCACAACTTTCATGAGAAAAAAATATAAGGGCTAATAAAAATGTCCTACTTTATGCAGAAATTATCAACACCCCAAATAAATAAATGAATAAAGAAATAGATAGAAAAACTCACCTCTGTCTGCACCATGTTACACCTGTTTTCCCTCATCTCCAGCACCAGGCCAAAGATGTCCACCTCATTGTGTTCACGGATGTGCTGCAGAAGCCTGTCCACAGCTATGAAGGTCCCTGTCCTGCCCACTCCAGCACTGGAAATAAATAAATAAATATATATATATATATATATATATATATATATATATATATATATATATATATATATATATATATATATATAGTAACAATGATGCCCAGGTGTTCCGATTCTCTTCAGAAACATGCCGTATCAGATTAATGTATATACTGTGACGGTGAGATGACAATTCAATGTAACATGTGTTCAAGCATTTTATGAAATAATCTGTTACTGTAAGAAATTCCCTTTTTTTAACTTGAACAAAAAAGGAGTCTTTAACTTCATAAATCATGGTAAGATTTCTCTTACACAGATTAGGAGATATAATCAGGATGACCACTTTAACTGTCAATAACTCACCAAAACAGTATTACTTGGTAATAACAAGATATTCCAGATCTTTAAAAAACAGAATGAAAAAGAGAGGGGAAAAAGACAAAAATCACTGCCCTGTTGAATTACTATGAGCCAATATCTACCATCCATTTAACCCAATCATGAAGATCATTTATCAGTTTAAACAGGAACCAATACACTTATTCAGCTCCCTTACGGAACACTTTCTGACCTGTTTCTCGGATAAGTGTCTATTATGTCTGATTGCTAGAAAAAAAGACCCAATGGAATAACCATTTTTCGAGACATAATAGGTATATTCAAATAAACCTCAAAAGCCATGTTATTAATTACAGGCCGGATATTGAGTGAGCAAGAATTAACCTTGGGAGTGCAAGCCTTGTAGAACTGATATATCAATGGGTGATGCAAGAGGGAAATAATATATGGATTGATATCAAGTTCTCTGAACTGAGCATCACATTTCAATAATCGACTTTCAATACATGAAAGCAATTGCTTCTTATGGATTTGGTGCTGTACCTTTTGGCATCTATGAAACCCAAACACTCCAAAGCACACGCACACATGCCTGCGTGCATGCTGCAAAGATAGACTGCACTTTCACATTAACTAAATTTACTTAATCAGATCTTAAGGCGTACAACATTCCTTAATATCATGATAATATATGAACAAAGAGCTTGATAAAATACTATCAACTGTGTTTTATGTGCATGATACTGATGTGTCTGATACTTGGTTAAAATAATCACAATGGCAAGAAACAATTCATGCAACATATTAGCAGTGTCTCACCCAAAAAAATTTATCCAGAAATCTGAAATAATGTTATAACAACCAACTTTTTATGTGACTACTGCTGCATTGCCAAGCCTGGATTTAGACTTAATGTCCTTATGAGCACCAAATGACACAAAAATATTTTTATTTCTTAAATGACAATACACTTTACAGTTGAAATGCCACAATTTCCATTTTCTTCATCAAATTCCTGTCAGCAGCTCTTATTGGATTGAATATTTTGATAACTTTGAACTGCAGACTTGAGCAGCCATTCTTATTAAGATCAAATGTATAATTCATGACACCAAATTGGCTCTACTTTCTAGTTAATTCTTCTCCAGAGTCCCGGCTGGCCAGATCACGTGCCTGGTTTACGCCATTCTAATAACAGGAAGCTAGTCCCCTAACGCATCAATGATTTCAATCACAGGTGAACTTCCACACTTCTGTGATTTTCAATAAGCAGGAGTTATTGGTAATTGATACACCTTTGGATTGACGTGGATCCGCACTTAATTCTATTATTCTCTGAATCAAGTTTTTTTGCTTATGTGCATTTTAAATGAGCAGTCATTAGGATGCTATTAACAATGCAATACAAAAAATGAATCGTATCAATTTCAATGGTCTTAATTTAACGCAACCCACAATATATTAAATATCTGTCATTTCTTTCCTTGTGATGACTCTTAGATGAAAGATCATTAAAGAATACTCGGTCAGTGTCAATGACATCAAATGGATCCAAAATATCATTACCTTTTTGAGAGAGAGAGAGAGAGAGAGAGAGAGAGAGAGAGAGAGAGAGAGAGAGAGAGAGAGATCAAAGAACACTGTAAACAAGTAAAAATTTGCAAAAAATGTATCAATTGGTTCCAATACAATTGCAAGGCATTATGCTCATTCCATAAGGCTCAAAAGAAACAAGCAAAAATTAAAAAGACAATCATGTTTCATTAAAGCATATGTCATTATAGTACTTTACCTGCAGTGGACACAAATGGGTCCCTGGATGTCTGGCTTGATGTGAGTACGCACTACTTTCACAAACTCAAGCAGGGATCTGGTAGTGTCCGGGCAGCCAAAGTCTGGCCACACCGTGAAGTTAAAATGGCGGACAGTGCGAGTGTTGTTACCCTATAGGGGAAGGCATGCAAACAATCCTGTTAGTATATCATCACAATCATGTAAATACAGTAAGTATAGCAACATGCTTTGTGCAACAGCATAAATGATGTGAAGAAGGCGACATACAATTTCACCATGAGAACTGAAAATAAATAAGTACGCGTACGGTTAAACGTGAAATTTGATTATGAATTACATTTAATATGAATTTTGGTCAACATCTACCAAAATGCTATATGTCTGCTTTGATGCAAGTTTAAAACTAATTCATAGATCTTGTACACTGTCCCCAGGCGTTAATGTACATCCAATCTGCAGATAGTTACCACCTTGTATTTGTGTTTTTATGTTTGCTGTAAGAGTTCTGTAAATATCAACAAAGATGTTTTTTAAAATCAATCATAAAACCTGATGAACTTCAGCCCTGAGTAACGCTGAATAACATGTCTGCTATCAGACAAGACTTCTAAGGTTAGTCTCATTCATTTCCTTTTAGTTAAACAAAACAATGGGGTATCACATGGAATCATTACCTCCAAAAGGACTGCTTTAATGCAAAGATTCAATTCTGTGAGGTTAATTCCCTCTTGACATTGAGCAGGCAAGCCTTAATTGGCAATTAGTTTCCGTAACATCAGTATCTCTGTCCTATGTGTTTGCAGCTACCGTAAAAAAACATTCTTTTCAGTCTGCTAATACCGAAGCCCACTTAAACATTGGTGGAACAGATTGGCATTGATAATCCCTAAGTGTGCCAGTTAATGTAAAAAGACCAGTGGCAGACACCTCTGTGGGTTTTTTTATGGTCACTAGGGTCAAGTAAGGAAAGCCTTTTGTCCACAAACATTAACAGAAGACTTGATTTGAAATAGCTTCAGATGTATGTGCTGGTATATATATATTAGTGGATTATATTACAAAATACCATTATTTATATCATTACATGAATTCTACTTTGAAATGCTAAAGTTATCCTTATTTCATCTTACATGTTCAGGAATGCTGCAATAAGTTGATTTACAACATTCAACTTAAATCACTATCTAATTACTTGATGACGAGTTTTGCTGTACTTCAGCTGAAATCAAATGAAGCACTTGACTTGATAAAAATAACAGGAAGTGAAGTATGACAGATGGACATCTAGAAAAACAGAGTTAAAAGTCACTTTTGTGGAATTCATCCATGACCATGCTATCACCTAGGGAAAGTCTTAACATGTCTGTTTTATTTCTGGGCTGTCCTGATAACACATTTGCCTGATGGAACATCATGGCCTACATTAACTAACTCTTCAATACATAGACACACCTTAATGGAGCCCAAAGTACCAAATATTCTCTGAAAAACAGGAAACTTGGAAACACTTATAAATGTCACACCTTGAATTCCAAGAAACAACTCTTTGAATAGTGTAAATGACTTGTGGTTTGTAAAAAATATGAGTATCATTTGCACTCAACAGTTCTTAATGACTTTGATCCGACCCCACCAATGACAGCATAAAATTGTAAGTTCAAATGAAATGCACTCTGAAATGTTGATGTCTCATTTGAACAAAAATCATATCTGACATTTTTATTGACTTTTAATATATTTACCCTGTCCTCGGAAAATAGAATCATTTTAAGAAATATAAAGGGAAAGTATTAAAAGCAATGTAAGTGGTATAGCATAAATTTACCTCACAAAAACTAAATCATGAAAAGAACTGAAGACCAAAAAACAAATGAAAATACATATACACATAAGGAATAATATTTTTTAATTTGCCAAATCCCCAACCACAGCTTTCAAAACCAGTCCAAAACCCAATGCAGAGTGACTGTTCCCTTAATCTGTGAGACTACCCATATAAAACCAGCATAATTAATTGACCAGACACCAGGAAGAACCCCTAATTATATTATAACCACTGTTGTTAGTTTGCTATAAAATAAAAAATATGTCCATAAATGCAAAAGTAACTTCCCTAAAAAGTACATATGCTATATGTAAATTAGGGTACATAGCACTGAGGTATGTTTTACAGATACATGAAAAGATATGGGTGCTTTCCTTGAAAAACAGGTCTGAGTAATCCAAACAAGAGAAAAAACTAAATATATAACACCCAAAGCAACGAAGAAACAACGACCTTCACCAAACCAGCCAATGAGTCAATACCTACTCATCATGCCAAAGCTAGCATAGCCAGATGACCTATAAGGAAATGTTACATTTAGTAAAAGTTTAATTGTAAATTCCAACTTAATTATTTATACCAGGAAAGTGACATATCTTGTTATATCACAATGTAGCATTTAGCATCATCTTATACATAATACATATTAAGAACTACTCACGTAAGGGGCCAACCAAAGTGCTAAGATCAATCTCAAAGTTTGAGTTCGCTGACAAAATATTGTAGTGTGAATGGTCTGAGAGCACATGTCAGCTACACCATGTGTCATAAAGTGCCACAATTTTTCTTTGTTTCAAAGCAAATGTATCAGAACAAGGAGTTTCTCTGTAGCATTGGTGTAATGTGTAAAGCACTCCAAAATACTATGAACTGGTATTCTTTCTGGTTGATGAAAGGCAAAACGTGACTAACAAATTGAAAGGCTGGACTTACACCAAAATAAAAATAACAAAGAAAAGGTGTGTAGGTGTGTAACTACCAAAATGATGAGACAGTTGCATGATAAAAAACTTGCTAGTCCATTGGCTACTAGTTTACTGAAAACTGATCAGGTTCCAATTCAATGATTATGTGATGCTTCATGCTGATGTCAAAGAATTTTGATTTACCATGCATGTGCATGCAGTTTTTTTTTTTTTACATATATAGCTCATACAGGGAATAATAGCAACTGCGTTATGCTCATCATGCAGCAATCACTGTATATAGGAGCCCCATAGTACAGCATGTTTGATGGTACAGCAGGCCGGCCAGCCCTAACAGACATAAAAATTCACACATAATAATGCAAGTCAAGCAGATACAAAAAACACAAGCTGGAATGAGGCTGGCATGTTGTTAAAATGCATCAGGGAATGCTTCCTGAAACTACAACCTATTATTATCATTATCATTATAATCATCCACCATTCCGGCATGCTCTTGATCATGCAGTGAGGACAGAGGGGTAATACCTGCAGTGAACTAGTATGGGTCCCCTGTTAGGCCGGTGGGAAATGTGCATACGCACGTTTTGTACAAAGTTGATAAGTAATGTGGTACTTTCTGGGCAGCCATGATCTGGCCACTTGGTGAAATGAAACTGTTTTAACACCCGGCTGAATTCTCCCTGAAATTTTATTAGCAACACAATACCGTTATGACATTTAAAGTGAAAAATTAACTGTATAGGTTTGGCACCTGTAAAAAAAATAGTTACTGGGTTTTAAGAACTGTGCACATTATTTTAACATTTATGATAGATCAAAAATCCAATTCACTCACAATACCTTAAGAATCTGCATTAACTTAAATAACATCAAGACAATCAGATTTTTGGGAAGGACTTACCAGCTGTACATCCAGTATTCTGATCGTATAATCTGAGAGGGTGGATTCTGAGCGCATCTGTACTACAAGATCTCCATAGTATTCTGCTTCTGTATCCTTTGGCCAATACTGTTCACATTTTATCTTGAAAGTTGAAAAGTAAACACACGTGCCAATAACTAAAAACATGCAGGTTACAGTAACTGACAGAGGCTATTTTCTCTAATCGGCCTGAGACCTATATCAACAAACTTTATTCACTTTCTCACATGTTCATATGGTTAATAACTTATAAGTACAGAAATCAGAGGATTTCTATAAATAATCAGCTTACCCTTCCCCTCTCCACACACTGTGTAACCATGACTACCAAAGTTACATTTTGCTCCCAAATCATCCTCCAGAAATCGTCCTTTGTAGCAGGCAGCGGGCCCTGGGCGGCAATAAATTCCCGTTTGGAACGATATCCCTGAATTGAAAAATAAAATTAATCTAATACATGTTGCATTGAAGTAGAATAAAAAAACGTAAGACATTGCCATATGATTCAGTTTTTCATATTCACCTGTTTCTAGTGCAAATGTAAGCCATAGAAAGTTCTGAATCTATTCTTTTCAATTATCTTGTCTTTCTATTTTTATCTCAAATGGTAATTTTATATCTTTTCTGAAATTATATATGTTACATATACCAGACTTACAGCCATATGCTGTGAGCCAATTTTACTTTAATGAATCAGATAATATGATTATCCTATTCATCATAATAATTTCTAAGCAACTGAGCTTTCCCCTAAGCTTCTTAAAGCCACACATCTACAGTAAACACAAGCAACTCACAGGCATGTAGTTGGCATTGATGTAGTCAGACCCTTCATCATCATCAATTGGTAGCAACTTGACTCTGGAGTGATCAACTGAAAAAATGGAGGTGCATTTCCATATATAAGCAAAATACACTAAATTATGCAATCCGTTACACTATGTGTAATCACAGTGTTACAACATGTGATATACAACCACAGTGTTACAACATGTGATATACAAACACAGTGTTACAACATGTGATTTACAACCACAGTGTTACAACATGTGATATACAACCACAGTGTTACAACATGTGATATACAAACACAGTGTTACAACATGTGATTTACAACCACACTGTTACAACATATGATTTACAACCACAGTATTACAACATGGCTTTGGCATATTAGTGTTAAAAATATTAACATTTGAAAATTACTCCAATGTCTAAATCCAACATACCAAACCCATTACAACTTTACTTCACAAATAACATTTCATACATGAACACAATGAGTTTAGCAAAATAAGATCATTAATTTTGAAAATGACTTTTTGTCTTTGAAAAGCTGAATCACTAAAGTACAAAAAAAAATCACTAGAAATTATTTCAATGTAAATCAACAAAGAAACACACATTAGAAAAACAAGACATATCACAAACACAGAACATTTCTACTTCATGTTAACCACCACTAGCATTGATTATTAACTGACTCCTACACAATAACATACTTTATTGCATACTATCATATATCAGAACACAATGACAAGCACAGGACAACACATTAGTAATTAAGGCATTCAATAACCACAATGACAAGTAGAGGGCAGTACAACATTAGTATACACTTACATGGTAATATATTAGTATATCTGTTTTTACAGCGATTGCTGGGTTTCTCAGCTTCCAACCATTCATAACTAGGTGCCAGCTCCTTAACAGTCTGTAGAACATGCAAGTAAGCATTATATATGTAAGAAGCACTGACCCATTCCTTCCCTTACAGAAATTTCCTATAGGGTCCTACAGTATGTCCTATGGGAAATCGGCCCAAAATGCTATAGGGTCCTATAGAACCCTAAAGGAAATAGGCTCGAAATCCTATAGGAAATCCGACAGAATTATTAAAGAGTCCTAAAATGTCTGAAAGAAGTCCTACAAAGTATTATAGAATTCCTATAGTGTGACATAGAATCCCAAAGGACATCCTATAGGAAATTTCTGTAGGGTTGAGGGGCATTCCAGTTTCAGTAAGGGCAGTGGGAGATGGGGTGGAGCACATACAGCATGCCATTTCCTCCTCAAGCTAAGTATTGCTGAATGCTTGCTGTCATGGTAAAACAATATAAAACCTGAATGGGAAGCATTTAAATGTGAATAAGTTGTTACAATCCATATATATTTCAAGTAAAGGGTTGCCAGCATTTTATGTTTCAAATTGCATAGATACATTGTTGAAAACAACAATAATGGCAATTTGTTTTAAAAAATACATCCAAGTCAGTAAGAGGTCAGCCATTTTTATCCTCACTTTCACAAGTCTACAAACCATACTCCTTAGAGAGAGGTTAATTCCCTCTGTTTCGAAAAATACTTGAAAATGATGATTCAAATTGCTGACAAAGGTCATCATTTTTAGGTTTTCACTTTGTACTCTATGAAGGGGGGAGAGGTCCTGGAAAAAGGATGCTTTTTGTAGACTTATGAAAATGATAAAAATGGATGAACCCTTACCCTGTAAATGATATAAAAATAAAAAGTTTTCATTTAAATAAAACTTTTAAATTAGAATGCTAATGGAGGTTTTGGGACAAAGCATGCACATTCCATATATATATATATATATATATATATATATATATATATATATATATATATATATATATATATATATATATATATATATATATATATAGCTACATGTGTCCATTTTTTCCTTACATGGGTGGATATTTGTAAATCTGTTTTTACATCTGTTGGCTTCATGGATAGCTTCATTACAGCCAAATCTTGGACTTAGAAATTTGATCAACTAAGGAAAAGTGATGGGACAGGTAAAAAAAAAAAGATATTTAAAATTACAAATAAGACAACATTTTTCAGTTAAACTTACATGACTCTAAAACATTATCTCGCACCAAGTTTTAGGAGGTGAGGAAGGGCTTGATTTGAATTATAATAATAATAACACTACTAAAATAAAAACCATTTTCAACGAGACTCACCAGTCAATTAAAATTGCATACAGTCATAAGGAACTGTTAGATGAAACACTGTATTATTGATCACAAGACTTTGACATATACTGGAGGCAATACCACTAGTATAGCCAAGATAAATGTCTCACATATTACTTAATCTGTTACCTAACTTCTGTAATAATTCAGCAAACTTTTGATACCATTAGCAAAGACAGTGCACTGTTCAAGTTTAAAAAGTGCTTTACTTGCCTAAATTTGGCCCTACAACTCACCTTATACTCATCTGAGAACAAGAGATCTGAGTCTCTGTGGTATTTCTCCACATGCTCTTTGAACTGTGATGTTGACACAGGCCTAGAGAGAGAGAAATAATCACAAATCACTACAGAAATGCTACAACTATCTGAAATCATGTAAAAGCACCTTTACTCTTTTAATAGCATTAAATCTAAGTGAATCTTTTGATCAAGGCACTGAATGGTTTTAACAAAAATGTTAAAGAAATACACACTGTTTTATATAACTGCAAATATAATCTCTGATATTTTTGATCATCGATCAGTTCCACCATTATAAAAATGTTCTCATTTTTAAAATAAAATTATACAGAAATGAAATCAATGTGTAATCATGGTTTTCTTTGGAGTATTTTCCTGTGACCACTGTCTGTTATCTCATTAATGCCTAAAAAGGTTATAAAGCACTGATCTTTTTAATTTTGAGAAAGATGTGTTCAAACAATATTACTTAATATGAAATTTGATGCCATTCCATAGAAAAATCATAGTTTCAATTTAAGAAAGAAGCAAGAAAATTATCAAATTGTTAATCTAAAGCAATTATATACAGTGAGCACTTGCATAATTAAGCCATATATACATACAGTATATAACAGGGCATTAGTGAGCAACTCAAAATATCAGCCAATGCTTAAGACAAGTCATATATTTTCTTTTAATCAAAGCAAATTCTAATTGAAGCCTTCTGCCATAAATGCATCATGCTGCCTACCTACATCTTTAATATTACAATGAAATGTGCAAGCTGCACAGTCACGCTACATCTAGTTTGTACAACATATTCCCTACATCACTAAAACTGACTATATCATGAGTCAAATATTTTTCAGTCTCATTTATGTAAAAAAAGAGGTGCAATTTGTCTGTAAGTGCATATTAAATATTCAAACCATCCAAAATAAATTAATCAGAGCAACCTGTATCTCATGACAAAAATACCGTAAGTATATATAGTCAGTTTTAGTTTGGGTCTATATGATAAAAAGCAACCCCTGCCTCGACTTCCATGCTTCCTCTTCCTCATCACTTTCACTTTAAATTAATGAAAATAACTAATTGTTTAGTTCTAAACAGACATCAATACACAAAGTTAATAAAGTACCAAAACTTGCATTACAGCATAATAGGCACATTAGTCTCTACTATGAAAATGATACATCAAAACACCAAATTTTTCAACTAGTGTAAACTTAGCAATTATCATTTTTCACTTGGTCCTTGGGAACATTTTTGCCAAGAAGATACCAAATTATTCAAAACACCACAGTACCAGTACTAAAACTTAGTGAGTAAAATTGAAACATAAATAAATTAAGAATGTTCAGCATAACAAAATAATCTCTAAATTGCTAATCAACTTTTGGCCCAGGAAATATGTACAAAACACATATTCATGCTAGCCATGCATTTAAACAACCAATTCATTTGAACCAATTCATTTAAAAGAACTATAAAAAGATGGCAAGAAATATAAGAATACTAATCATCCTTAGTGACATAACTATAATATCATAACAGGTATATTACTTAATATCATGACATACAGATGCAAATATCAGCCTACCATATGTATAAACATTTACTGCCAGGGGTTTATATGTAAATCATCATCTCATCATATGTCACACTATCACAAAGATATCATGGTGTGACATATCAAGTCATGCTCATGAATGCACACATTTAAGCAATAATGAAATTATATTTATGTATTCATATCAGATCTACAGCTGTGGCTCATGCTGGTAGTGATATGCTACAATGTATATGTGTATGAAAATCCCCTCCAAACCAAAGATATACACCATCTTCCTTACCTGCTTCTAGACTTGAGTTCCTCACCATCAAAACCTTCATTGTCATGACCAGCGGTAGAAGGATTGCGTTGTGTGGTCTCTCGTTGTGACTTACCACCTATCAATCTGAAGGGCAATTTAAAAGAATCTAACATAAACATTCAAAACTTAACTACTTCATACAACCACATATGGATTATAATATACATTTACCTATTTTCTGCATTTTATACATTATCCAATTAATATGACCCTTGTGCAAAAATACATTGATCTTCATTTATCATTTTAAAAAATATATATATATATGAGCCCAAATAATGTAAAATGACACAATATATATTACAGATGCCATGTTATAAATATTTGAATTCTTAAGCAGTCAAGGGCTTTAAGATGTGGGAAGAAGAATTTAAAGAATGGATGGGAAGGTAAAACTGTAATCAGTTATTGGGGTAGATATAGAATCTGCCATCATATTTTAAATAAAATGCCCTGCTAAAATAAATCAAACTAACAATCTTAGAAAACCAAATGGCTTTTAAGTAGATTCTCATAAAGTTTGTTTCTTCTATCACTATGTACCACAATACAACAGCACTTGTAGACAGCCAAGTCTATTTCAATTTATTTGAATAATTAAGAAAAAAAGCAGGGACGATGTAATGTGAACAAAAAAGCAAAGACAATACTGGAGACAATATGTATACATAGAGTCAAAATCTATATAAATTTTCATTGACTTGGTAACTTGAATTACATATAGTTATTCATCAGTTCATGGGGAAGAAGTCACAGTGTATGTCAGAAATAATGCAATACATCATCATAATGGGTCTTATCTGTTTGGATTTGGGTACAGAAGCTTCTTATCAAAGACAATTGAGAGGCATATGGGTACAAAAAGGATTCAGTGTTAGGTCTGTCAAAACTTATGACAGATCCAGGGGTGAAAGTGGGGGGCACAGTGAGCATATGCTCACCTAACTTCAGAAGCTGAACTCTCCTCCCCTACCCATTTCCAAATAGTAAAATAAGAAATAGAAAATTTCTATCCTTCAGCCAATCACACTATAGTCTTCATACATGTTTTATATATCTAGGGTTGTCAAATAAGCTGCACAAGGCAAAAAAAAAAAAAAAAAAAAAAATCCAGGCTTTTCCAGTAAAGGCAAAAGGTAATCTTAGGAAGAGAATTTGGAAAAGTAGCATATTAGAAAACAATGGCTCTTATGTAAAAAGTACTTAATATCTAACAATGTCACTTAAATCTCATCATGGTAGATATTGCCATATCAAGTAGGGGAATTCACAGGGTTTGGTAGGATTTGAGTAGGTTTTATATTGGACCATCTTGCCTGGATGAAGGATTCAGATCCTGCATCATGAGAACAGTGGGGCCTTCTTTGTCGTCAGAGTCTATTCTGGTAAACCTATCAACCCTGAAGTAGCAATACACCTTCTCAGACATCATTAAAACAAAAGGGCCATAAACCTTTAGAATTCTCTATATAATTATTAACATACAAATGGCAGGAGAAATGATAGAGAATTCCAGTGCAGAAACAATTTTTTTAGTTTCATATTGTTACTGTTACCTACCCTCTCCTTTTGGCAATAATAAACAACACAACAAAGGCAATAATCAGCACAATCAAAACAGCTGTCACTCCTCCAGCAATTGCACCTGTGGTGTCTGGTTCTGATGGAAAGAAAATTTCTTCTTTAAATAATTTTTTAAATAGCCAATGAGGCTTAAAATTGTTTCAGTTTAACTTAATGAAAAACTTTCACAAAAGCTTATTAGTGATACCTTGAATTCTTCAGAAAACCATTACAAAAAGAAAACCATTACAAAGACAAAAACAATTATGAAATAAAATACTGTGTAACAACTCTATTCTTGCCACCATAAATACAAACCTGTGCCCTGTTTTACACAAGGAGTGTCTGTATAACCATTTGTTGTATACCCACGAATTCTGATGCTGAAATCAGGAAAAAGGGAAAGTAAATAATAATAATGAATATTTTTCATAATCTCTTGGATTGAAAAAGAACTGTGTGTATTTGTAGTTTGCAGAGAAAATTCTGACAAAAATAGTTACAAAACTTGAAAAAAATGTATTTTTCTTTCTCAAAGGTAAATTTAAAATGTTTTACACAATAAACAGTGTGTATTACCAAATGCTGGGCTTGTGGCAAGTAATATATTGTTGGGGTACTTAATTTGTGACTTGAGTCAATAATTACGACATATGTATTTGATTGACCTTTGTAGGATTTAATAAAATTTCTATGGGTCCTGTTTTTTTTTTTTGGTCATCCTGTATGAGGTTCAAGATAGCAAACTCCTAATCCATTTATAAAGCCTGATATGGCACTGACCAAGGTAGACCAATAAAGGTGTGTATTTACAGACAACTCACCAATAGGTTCTCCCTGATGGCAATGGTCCATTGCAGTATTTGCTTGTTGCCACATTACTACAATCTTGACTGCCTATAATTATCTCATACGGAGTGGCAGCACGCCTCTGTCGTTGACCTTAATCAAATTGGTTTCATTAGTGCCTCAACAAGTTGTACTCTTGGCGATCATTATATAATAGGTTAAATTCCCAAAAGTTCACCTGCTATATATATATGTATCCAGAATAATATGTAAGATATCTCATCAAAGCAATGTTTGAGGTATATGCCACATATTCTTACATGCACAATGTAAACATATCACAAATAAATGACTGAAAGTGATTGTTTGCTCATTATCAATAAACTAGCAAATGTGATTTAAACAAAACCTTACTAAATTTTGGTGTCAGAATGAAATGTTCATGGTGCCATACTTTCAACAAATCAAATTTCAGCATTACCTGCCGTACCCCAAGGGTTCGGTTCTACCTCCTTTATGGCATATGGGGTTATTTTCTCCAGGTCTTTAACTTGTCCCCATGTTTTTAAAGTAGGAAACTTGTTGTCTTTTCTGACATCACTCTCTGGTTTTCCTGTGAAAACAGAAATATATCTAGAGGAAAACATTTGATTAATATACCTCAACCATTAAAAGACATTACTAAGTTTGAAGTATTATTAATGTTTAATTGATATGGTAAATAAAAATACTGGAGACAGAACACCAGAGCACTCAAGGTTATGAAATGCATGCCAGACTTAATCCTTGATCAAGTTGGTGTAAAATTATGTGAAACACAGCAATAATGCATTTGAGGATCTGTGAATTTGAAAATTAGATCAAGATCACCCATTCTCAAACATGAACTAGGTCTATGGTCGTGCAGATACATAAACTGGGTTCCCATGCCTAGATCGATCCATTTGGATCATTAATTTGCTATTAACTTAACCGGCATAAATGTCTGTCGCGCCTACTGAATCAACTAAGGGGTAAAGATAATTACCCCCTAATAGCTTTATTTATCCCTGTTACCAAGGAGATAGATCGATCCAAATATCTGTTGGAATGGTCCCCTAGCCTGAGAATCTGAGGTCAAACCATTGCAAAGTCATGTTGAAAACAACATGTCATTTGGAAGCACTTTGGATGGATGGATAGATGGGAGTCAGCAACCAAAAACATAATGCCTTCTGCCTGAGGCATAAATATTTTATCTAACCCCAAGCTCAAGTTGAATATTATGAAGAATTTTTAATGAAAGTTACATGACAGTAAGATAACCTATTGGTGATCTGTGAAAGATTGAATGTTA